CTGCTTTCAGCCTGGTCTGTGTGTCAAGTCAGGACCTGTAGTTCCTCCCACCTACAGTGAAGGGACTTTGCCTTATTCCTACAATCTGTGCGTTGCCTCACAATCAGCTAAGACAGAGTTTAATTTTCTTACTGTCACCCCAGAAGTGACTCCCTCTCAGGATCTCCTCTGTGAAGATGTCTCTTGGGTACCAAACACAAATCATGAAGGCGCTGGGGTCCCGTTTGCATCAGATGTTATTTTGAAGGTGAGCTTTAATTTACTTGACTTATTTTCACTTTAGGTGTCAGTGTTTGTTAACAAATCACTGAAGTGGGGTTTAAGTCTCAACTTCATATTTTGTCTTGTGGATTCAATTTAAACAGTCTTCTGCCTTAATTATCTTAGTTGTATGTAATCAAATCTCTAACATATGTTTTTGTCTGATACAGGAGATTAATCTGTCCATAACTACAGGCCTGTATTACATGAAATACTTATCTTTCTTCCTCATCTTTATATTCCTTTCCTCTGAAATGTCATTACTGTAGGAATTAAGCTATTCCTTTCACCTTCGGGGTCTTTATTACTCCAGTTTTAGTTTTACTTCCTCTTAGAATTATAGCACTTCATAGTAAAGAGATCTGTGTTGCTAGTTTGGGGAAACTGGGAACCAAAAAAAGAAAAAAAATTTACTCAATGTCATGGCTTGCCATCATCAGGGCATGGGTAGAAATGAATTGTAGACCAGCATTCTAAGTGTCTTTTCAAGCTAAGTGTCTTGATATCTCAGATCTGTTTTTAAAGGAAGGGCAACTTTTGAGGTCTGCAGTGTCTGTTTTATGAGTGTATTTATTAAATGGGAGAAATCTTTTTCATTCATAGTAACAGATTGCTTTTATGAAAAATTGTACATTGAAAAATTTTTGCAAACTGTACTCACATTGTTTACTTAAAACCTTTTTTGAATTTTCTAATTATAGATATAAAATGTCTTCATTTTCTTTCTTTTCCTATGAAGATGTCATTGGGTAAAAATCGCTTTTCTCACTTAATTGACTCTCTGTAATGTTCTCTTTTCCCAATCATGAGACATTTTTTCCCCCTGCTACCATTTGAAGGTGATAACATTAAATAGCTCTCTCAATATAGGAAGGCCACTCAGTGCCTTCTCACTAAGTATCTGGACATGTTTTTCTGCATAGGTGATGAACTAAAGTCCTTTCCTTCAGTCACTATACTGATTTCCCTAAGAGTCTGTCACTGTAAAATGCCTAACTCCACTTTAGACATGGTAACCGAAAAATGTAGATAATGTGTAGTTAACCCAGCTCAAACTCTTAGTCTGATAGAGTGTAGCTGCCAAATGCTTGGTGTGGAAATCTGGGAACTTTCTCAGAGTCCTCACAAGTAACAAAATGCCCCTTTATTTTTTCTTTTATGACATCTAATACAATTTGCTTGAATCAGTAGGCATTTTTGCAAAACTGCAATGGGAGCTAGGTTTGTTTTCTTGACATTCTTCTGCACAGTGGACACATTTTAATAAATATATCCTAATAAAAAGATGACATTTTAAAACCTACAAAATTAAGAATTCCAATATCCAGATTTAACAGACTTAATATAGGTAAGAGGTAAGTAAAGGACATGGGCTCAGTGGCACTTAATTAAAACTTTCCTAAGGGGGAAAAAATCTAATAATTATGTTGATCTCAAGGTTTGTTGAAGGCTTGATATTTCAGAATTAAATATAAACAATGTCACTTGATAATGGGTTAAAGATACAGCAAAATTATTAAAAATAAAAAATAAACATTTATGAAATAGAACAGAATTGGTGTAGTAACTGGTTAGGACTCTGGGCGTCGCTGTTCACCAAAGTGGAAAAGCTGGTTGCGTTACGACCTGACTCCCTGCTCCTTCCTCACCAAACACAGACCGGAGAAGTTTTAGGAAATAGGCTTGCATTTCTGTCAAGTAACATGTTCCCTTTGGCTTGAAAGAAGTAAGGAAACAGCAGGCTGGAATTAGAACTAAGAAAACTGGTCGGAGAGAAAGCAATGGCGGATCCACTGAGGGTTTGGGGCTGCATAGAGCCGATCTTGCTCTTTCTGCTCCTGGAGACGCTATGGGGAGCCAGAGCTGAGCAGATACGCTACTCCGTGCAGGAGGAGCTGGACAAAGGCTCATTCGTGGGAAACATCGCCAAGGACCTGGGACTGGAACCCCGGGAGCTGGCGGAGCGCAGAGTCCGCATCGTCTCCAGAGGTAGGACGCAGCTTTTTGATCTGAACCCGCGAAGCGGCAGCTTGGTTACCGCAGACAGGATAGACCGAGAGGAGCTCTGCGCTCAGCGCACGCCGTGTCTGGTGAGTTTTAATATCTTGGTTGAGAATAACATGAAGATGTACGGAGTAGAAATAGAAATAATAGATATTAATGATAACTTTCCACGTTTCCGGGATGAGGAAATAAAAGTAAAAGTTAATGAAAATGCGGCTCCTGGAACGCGATTAGTGCTTCCCTTCGCTCGAGATGCTGATGTGAGTGTGAACTCCCTCCAGAGTTACCAGCTCAGCCGCAATATGCATTTCTCTCTGGAGGAGAAAAGTGGAGCTGATGGACAAAAATATCCGGAGCTTGTACTGGAACAGCCCTTAGACCGTGAGAAAGTAGCTGTCCACGACCTCCTGCTCACAGCTTTAGATGGCGGAGACCCCATACTCTCTAGTACTATGCACATACATGTGATGGTCCTTGACGCAAACGATAACGCGCCCTTGTTCACCCGATCTGAGTACACAGTGAGTGTACCAGAGAACATACCGGTAGGCACTCAGCTGCTTAGGCTAACCGCCACGGATCCAGATGAGGGAATAAATGGGGAATTAACGTACTCTTTTCGCAATGAGGAAGACAAAATTTCAGAGACTTTCAAACTTGACTCAAACCTGGGTGAAATCTCAACTCTGCAATCACTGGATCATGAAGAATCCAGGTTCTACCTCATGGAAGTGGTAGCTCAGGATGGGGGGGCTCTTCTGGCGAGTGCTAAGGTGCTGATCACAGTACAGGACGTGAATGACAATGCCCCAGAAGTGATCCTCACCTCTCTTGCTGGTTCCATCTCTGAAGACTGTCCTCCTGGAACCGTAATTGCACTGTTTAGTGTACACGATGCTGATTCTGGAGAGAATGGCGAGATTCTATGTTCTATCCCCAGGAATTTGCCTTTTAAATTGGAAAAGTCAGTTGATAATTACTATCACTTATTGACAACAAAAGCCTTGGACAGAGAAGAGATCTCAGATTATAACATCACAGTCACTGTCATTGACCTTGGAAACCCACCCTTGTCTACAGAAACCCAGATCTCCCTGACTGTGGCAGACATCAATGACAACCCTCCCATCTTCCCTCACACCTCATACTCCACCTATATCCTGGAAAACAATTCCAGAGGCATCTCAATCTTATCTGTGACTGCGTATGACCCTGATAGTGGCAACAATGCCAAGGTCACTTACTCTCTGACTGAGGACACCTTTCAAGGAATGCCTGTATCCTCCTATGTCTCCATTAATTCCAACACAGGCATCCTGTATGCTCTTGGCTCCTTTGACTATGAGCAGATTAAAGACCTGCAGCTGCGGGTAATGGCCAGTGACAGTGGAGACCCTCCACTTAGTAGCAACATGTCACTGAGATTGCTCATCCTGGATCAGAATGACAATGCCCCCGAAATCTTGTACCCCAGCATTCCCACCGATGGCTCCACAGGTGTGGAGCTGGCGCCCCGATCCGCAGAGCCCGGCTACCTGGTCACCAA